ATTACTGGGCCTTGGTTAACTTATTCAGAAAATGGCGTGGGAAGCTGCTGTCACAGTCCTCAAACATGCAGCATAGGTTTGGAACTGGGCAGTGAGGAGATTTAGAGAAGGTTAAAAAGCGGCAGAAAAGCGGTGACCCGTGCTATGTGGTGAGGAAACATTTGGTAGCATGTTTGCGCATGGCGATCTGGGAGGAGGAAGCGTACCTCTGCACTTATGGACTTGGGCAGCGTTTCCAGGGACGGCCTTGTGACCTTGAGCTTCTTCAAGCCATAAATGACAACGTGCTTCAAGTAAATGATGAGTTCAGAAAGGAACCCGCCATTCACATGTAGAATCTAGAAAATAAAGTTATTTCTCATCTCCAGTCCTCCAGCCGTTGAAAGATCTTCAGATTAAGGCTTGGCCTGAGGTACCCAGACCCAATCCAGGCCATGCCAGAGGCATGCAGCTCCGAGCGGAGAGTCAGGGATGTGCCCCTGGATGGCAAGGCCCTTTGTCTGAGGCCCTGGAAGGAAAAAGGTGGCTCTAGAGCAGTGGTTCTCAACCTTCTGGCCCTTTAAATACAGTTCCTCATGTTGTGACCCAACCATAAAGTTATTTTCGTTGCTACTTCATAACTGTTATGTTGCTACTGTTATGAATCGTAATGAAAATATCTGATATGCAGGATGGTCTTAGGCGACCCCTGTGGAAGGGTTGTTTGACCACCAAAGGGGTCACGACCCACAGGTTGAGAACCGCTGCTCTACAGCATCCTCTCAGTGATAACGGGGTGCCTGGGAACCTTCAGGGCATGGCCCCACACAGCCCGAAGGTGCCAGTAGCCAAGTGTAGAGAGGAACTCGCCGGAGTGACTGGAACTATCCATGCAGAAGAGCCGCAGTGTCTGAGAGCTGACGGGCAAGTGCATGTGAGAGTGGAGCACAGGGGACCGAGGCTTTACAATGGAAAGGACCTCGAGGCTCCCACCTTCCTTCAGGCAAGAAGAGGTAGAGAGCAACTCCACCGCCTAAGGGGACACGCTTTCCAGCGCCCGCTTCCGCAGTGGAAAGGATGATGGAGGAGGAAGACCCCCACTGGGGGCAGTGGGGAGCACGGGGGGGACTGCGGATCGCCAGGGGCACACTGGCACTTCTGCCCCGCAGACTTCGGGTGCTGGAACAGTGGCTGCGATGGCCGTGATCCCAGCCCTGCCCCACTGCGAGCTGGGTGTGCGCGGGGCAGGAAACGGCTTCTTTAGTTCCTAAGCCTTTGGGTCAAGAAGAGCCATGTCCAGAATGAATGCAGAGCACATAGAACCTATACCCTGACACAGCTGACTGGCTGGAGAGACGGGGTCGTGGACGAATGCACTGCAACGGGGAGGACGTCACCTGGCCTATGCATTATCGCTGAGAAATGCTCTCTCCCTCCCACTCCTGTGGACGCGTGCCCTTCCTGACACCGGCCGTGATGGTTTGGCCAAAGGAATGAGGTGAAACCGATGGTGCGCTGGTCCTCA